TGTGAGGCCTGGGAGGGATGTTTGTTCTCTCACCTTGCCCATGATCGGTCTCTTTCTCTGAGCATCAGCATGAATGCCTCGCTGGGGCTTGCGGCCCTGCCAAGCGTCTGGGCTGTGGAGAGCCAGCGGAACCAATCATTTGCGGTTGAGGAGGAGATGCGTGGCTGGGGATGTCGCTTCTGTGCTGGGAGGTGGGGGTGCAAAATATCCACGCACAGGACGGCAGCTCGCCCTCCGTCTTCCATGTGGGTTGCAGGAGGGATGTTGCTCAGGACTTTGCACCATCTTGTGTCACGGGACTTTTAGTAAAACCCCTCCAGCCACCGCTACTCCCAGGCCAGCCCCCCTCGTGGCTCGAAGGGATCGCAGTGGAAGCTTCCAGGCTGGCCTCCCAGCCTCTTTCGCTCCAGCCTGGTTGGTGGACCTGGAGTTGGTGACCTGAGGGAGGGAGGCAGGTGAGGTGAGAGGTCACGGATGGCTCTAGAGTCAAACTGCCTCAGCTTGAGTCTCAGCTCTTGCTCTCCAATTGTGCAGCATCGGACAAGTTATTTAACGTCTCTGTGCCTCGGTTTCCTCATCCACAAGACGGGGATAACAGTAGCACCTGTCTCATGGAGTTATTCTTTGGCTTCAGTGGGATAAAGCTTATAAGTTATTTTGTCTGACACATAGTAAGAGCTAAAAAAAACCTCGGCTTTTATTATTAGCAGTGCAAGGCAGGGTTTCTCAGCCTCAGCTCTGCTGACATTTTAGACTGGACCACTCTGCTGGGGGGCGTCCTGTGCATTGTAGGAGGTTGAGCAGCATCCCTGACCTCTATCCCCCCGATGCCAGTAGCATCCTGTCCCCTACTCCCATCATGACAGCCAAAAATGTCCCCAGACATTGTCAAATATCCCGATTGGCAAAGCCACACCCTGTTGACAACCACAGTTCTAGGTCGTTTCCTCCTGACACCTCCCAGGCCCCCCGTCGCTCAGAAGCTGTGCTTGCCAAGCCCACAGGCACTCACGGGGCATCTTGTACTAGACTGTGTCCCCTCTTCTCCGTGTGTTCAGGCCATGTATTGGCTCAGTCCACTGCTGGCTGGGCTTCTGGGGTGTCCCGGTGACGCCTGAGAGAACCTCTGTGCTGAGTCTCACTCTGATGTGCCGGTTTTGGGGTTGCACAGCTCGGGGTGCACTTTGTTGCTGGCTTTTTAAAGAAGAACTGTCTGTCCCTGTTATGATTTCCCCAGACGCTGGAGCAATAAACAGCTCTGATGACAGCTGTTCTAGGTAGAAAGTGCACACAGCTCTGGAGCATCTCCCCAAGCACTTCAGAGCAGCTAAGTGGGTAAAACTGATTTCAGCCACTACCCGGGTGGCTGCTTGTGTCTGCGGAGCCTGCCCTGCAGACCAGAGCCAGGCCCGAGGGCTGGGATGAAGGAGGGGGCAGTGACTGGCTCCCTGACTGCCCTGGCCTTGCTCCTGGGCCTCGAGAAAGCTGGGTCCTGGCACGCACGCTGATCAAGAGCTACCCTCTGTCCTGAGAGAGAGCATGGTGCATTCATCCCAAGGGCAGAGGGGGCTGTGCGTGTGTGGGAGGAAGCCCAGGGGGCGGGCCGGGGCCCACACCTTTACACATTCAGGGAAGGCTTTCTGGGGGTGCTGAGTTTTCATTTCTGTTCTCAAAGTAGCAAGAGTCGGGGTAGGCGAGTGGACGAAGCGAAGACCGTACTTATATTCGTGTAATTAGGACCATTATTTCCTAATACGTTAGTTTCCCCAACTGGCTGTTGGATCCTCCAGGAAAGGGGTCATAGCTTTCTCATTTCTGTTCTCGGAACCAAGTTACAGATAATTTGTTTTTGGGTGGATGGGTGAATGGATGGATGGATGAGATGCTTACCTGTATCTGCTAATTTCCTAAATCTTATCAGTTATCAAATTCTCCCTCAATTCGAATAAACTGGGAATCACAGCAAGTCATCAGCTTTGTGTAGTGGTCAACTGGAAATCCAGGCCCCACAGGGATGGGATCAGGATTTGAGGCAAAGCCCACTTGGGGGGATGGCCTCCGCTCGCCTCTGTGTCTGCTCACACTGAAGCGGGCATTCTGCGCTCGGCCTCTGCTCAGAGCCTGGTCACTGAGGTCCTCGCCTCTCTAATGGGAAGAATCAGTAAAAACTTCAGTAATTTCCATGTCTATTTCTGTGGACTCGCCAAACCTGGTAACTGGTAACATTACCTGAGAGAGCAGATCCTTCCATCTGTCCCTCCAGACCCAGCTCCGTCTCCTCTGAGAGCCCAACTTTACAGAACGTTTCAACGGGCTGCCATGTTCTGGCCTCCAGATGGGCTCTGCCAATGGGCGGATCCAGCAGAAGAACAGAGTGGGGACAGGAGGGTGAAGTCGGGGTGTTTATTCACCACCACTCACCATTGTCCCCAAACCTTCCTCCTGAGTCTTCTCTCAAGTCAGCCTTCTCTACGTAACTTTTCTTTATGTGTTCTGGTAGCTGCTCTCTCCTTCCATCCCGCTGGGCCTCGGAGTGATCCCAGCTCCATGTTGGCATCCCCAGGGAACTACACTACCCCTGTGGTGCCCTGGCACCCCACTCATGCCATTGAGGGTTGTGCCTTTATGACAACATCCTTGGCGGTTGCCGTATGTTCCCTGTTGGGGCCTTGACTTATACCCTGGCCTGAGGTTCCTCTTAGGTCTGAAGTGACCCTGCCTATCTCTGCACCCCTCCCTGGCCTTGCAAGCGTCAGGAAGAACGTGGCCCTGAAGAACCACCCCTTCCTTACTCTCCTCCATGCCCTGCACCCATGTTTTAAAGTCCTTGTCAACCACCTTCTTTAACTAAAGCAAGAAATATTTCGTTTTGCCATTTGGAATGACTCAAAAATGTTTACCGGTGAGAATTTTTGAATAGATCAAGAAAATAAGAGGGCCCACCCTGAATTCTAACCTAAAGCGGAGAAACGTGCTACCTCGGTTTGCGCAGAGGCCTAGTCGTAGTGGCGGTGCTGGTTCCTTTAAGAATGTGAAGGGAGCCCTGGCCGGTTTGGTTCAGCAGTTAGAGCGTCGGACTGCGGTCCTGAGAGACCCGGGTTCGGTTCCCGCTAAGGGCGCGTACCTCGGTTGCAGTTTGTCCCCGGCCCTGGTCGGTTGTGCGGGTGGCAGCCACTCGATGTGTCCCTTCACATCGATGTTTCTCTCTCTCTCTCTGTTCCTCTCTCTCCCTCCCACTCTACCTGAACAAAAAATGGAAAAATGTCCTCAGGTGAGGATAAAAAATAAAAAAAAAGAATGTGAAGGGAGCTCACAGAGCCGCCCACTTGGAGCCCTTGCCGGGAACCACTGCTGGGGCAGTGACCGGAAACGTTGAAGGCCAAGGGTCACGTGGCTTTCCTCTCCGCCAGGGCCGGCAGGCTGCAGCCCACGAGGCAGACCCTGTTTTTGTAAGTAGAGCACCCCTGGAAGGCAGCCTGTGCTGTGGTGGCTGCGTTCGCGCTGCAGTGACAGAGCCGGTCACAGACCGTGCGGCCCTCCGTGCAGAGGACAGCTAGCACCGCTGTGCCGCCCTGGAAGGGCCTCGACTGGCGTCCGGGCGCTTGGGTTTCAGAGGGTTCCCACCATTCCCACACTGACGAGTAAAAGGCCTGGGCCGGCGGGAGGTCACATCCACACGCAAGGCCAACGGAGAGCAAGACGGCGTTATTGCCTGTGCCTGGGTGCAGGCGGGCTGAGCCGAGAAAGGTTCAGCCTCCAACAACAGTTGGGGTGTCGGTTATATACTCTACTTTTAGCTTCCGGCAGTTCCTGCTGACGTATTCTGCATGGCCCACTGTCCACTTTGCAGTTGGACTGGTCTGGTATCTCCTCCTGCGTCTGCTGGGTGATTCATTGTCTTGCGCATAATCCAGATAATCCTTATCCGTACTCAGCAGAAGGCTGAGCAGAGGTCATGCAAGCAACACAATTTTTCACAGTTTCCACCTTTCGCAAACTTTTACCTTCACTCTTTAAAACGTTACTAACCCTTTCAGTGAGAGTAGCTCACTGTGCCTAAGCTGGTTCTGTAAGCCATATGGTTTATGCTCATACCTGCTCTGCTTCTGGAAGTCTGAATGTTCCTGCGTACCAGGCAGAGGCTGCCGACGTGACGAGCCCGCAGTAAGAACCCTGGGCGATTTGTCTGTAACAGCACTTCACACAGGTTGTCTCAGCTCCTTGCCGGGGGAGTTCTGCGCATCCTGTGTGACCTGGGAGAGGACCCTGGGAAGCTTGTGCCTGGCTTCGCGACTTTGCCCCGTGTGGCTTTTCCCTGTGCTGCGTTGATGTGTGTCCTTTCACTGTCCTGCTCCACCGAGCCAGGAGTACAGTCATATGCTGAGTCCTGTGCTCTTAGCGAATCACCAAACCCAGCGGTGGTCTTGGGGACCTCTCAGGACACCTGCAAAGTAAAAAATATGTGCTGTCTGGCCCTCTAAGAAATACTATGCCAACCCCTCCTGTACAGGGTCTTGGTGTGGATGGAAGTTACCTTTTGTATGCCTGCCATCCCACTGGTCTGTGAACCCCCTAAAAGTGTGGCCCAGGTCTTTTGCTCTTTAGCTACTGGCCACACACAGTATCTTGCATAAAGTATTTATGGAGGGAGGAAGTCAGCAAGCCTATAAATAATGGATTCAAGAGTATTTTTTAAACTGTGGATGGTGAAGTCAATTTAAAAGGCTTTGACCAATGTTTTTCAATGGAAGAGTAGAGTAGAAAGTATTTGCATATAGGGAGACTAAGTTTCATTTCTTGAAAGATTTGTTCCAGTTTTACATGTGGACCAGATGCTATGCTGGATCAGAGTGCAAGAGGATTTCTGCTTGTCCATTGCAAGAGAAAATATTCGAAGCCACTGGACTGGGATCCCTCTCCCAGATGCTTGGGGAGGAGCCCAGCTGACCCTCCCCACCTCTCTGGCTGTCAGCATTTAACCTCATTCTCCCCACCCCCAGAATGTGTACTACACGAGCAGCCAACAGATCCACGTGGGCACCCTGAGCCCCACGGTCGACGACGATGACAACCGATGCCTGGTGGACGTCAACAGTCGGCCGCGGCTCATCGAGTGCAGTTATGCCAAGGCCAAGAGGATGAAGCTTCACTGGCAGTTCTCTCAGGTAACAGCCCAGGGCCAGGAAGAGTGAGAGCAAAGGAAGTGGGGGGAGGGGCCGCAGGGGCGGGGGAGGGGCTGCAGGGCCCGGGGAGGGCATGGCACTGTGGCTAGGGGGCTGTGGCTCCTGCTAATTCTTGGCATTAATCAAGCACTTACTACATGCCAGGGGTTTCACATACGTTAGCTCATCGGGTTATTATTATACTGTCATTGTTGTTGTTTTATTTTCATTTTATTTAATTTTTAGAAATAAGGAAACAGGCTCAGAGTGGGGAGCCACCTGTACAAAGCCACACAGTAAGGAGCAGGGTTGAGACGTAGAGTTGGATTTCCCTGGCTTTAAAGCCTTGCATTTCTCCCACACAAGCCCCTTCTCAGGGCGTGAAGCCCCGTCTCGAAGGTATAGAGTGCTGGGTCGGCTCCGATCTGTGACCCCCTCTGCCCTCCTCCCAGGAGGGGTTGCTTTAGGAGATGAGGTTCCACACAGGGCAGTGTCTTGGGACCATTTTGTGAAGGGCTGTCTGCTTCAGCTCACTGGGAAGCTCACTGGAGAGGAGGCAGATGAAAGGACCCGGGATTTCTTGGAATAATCCCTAGTGGTCATGGTCTAGCCGGGCATCTGGGGGGACTTTGTGTCACCCAGATACTAGTGTTCCTTTTTTTAAATTACTGATTTTAGAGAGAGGAAGGGAGAGGATAGAGAGAGGAGAAAAAAAAAATCCATCGGTTACCTCCTGCTCACACCCCAACCTGACCAGGGATCAAACCCACAACCTGGGTATGTGCCTTGACCCAGAATCAAACCTGCCACATTTTGGTGTATGGGACGATGCTCCAAACAACTGAGCCACACTGGCCTGGGTGGGCTGCGTGCGCTCTTGAATTAAAGTAAGCTCCCTGGCCCATTCAGAGGCCTTGCTCCTCCCAGGAGCTCTGGGATCACTGGGAAATAGAGCTCCACCTCTGGGGCCTCTGCCTCTCTGTGTCCAGCCTCCTGCAGTTTTATGTTAATGAGCAAAGCAACTCCTTCTCAAAGGGGACACAGGGAGCCCTGGGGACGACGCCTGCAGCCATCTAGCTAAAACTCCCGGAGTGCTTCCGCAGCCACGCCTTTGATCCTCTCCCAAGGAAACTATTTGGAAATAATATTTTAAATCCCTGTTTACAAATCCAGAGCAGCTACTCTTACTTGATATTTTAAAACTAACATATGTGAATTTTTTGTTTAAAGCAAAATGATCAGTATTTGTCAAGCGACCTGGAATCTGTCCCCAAGCCCACTGCTTAGGAGCTACTCCTGACCAAGGCCAGAGGACGCTGGGGGCCTCTCAGCCCATTGAAGTCGTGTGCGTGGGCACATTTTCTTGCAACAGGTTTTAATCTTTGCAAATTACCCAGCGATCCTACCAACTAGAATTTTCTGGTGCAGAAGCCGGGCTGAAAGGAGCTTTTAGTGGCGCATTTTAAATCTCCTCTCCCGTCTCACATTCTGTATTATTTACTCCCCTGAGGGCTGCATTTAAACTCCACAGACACTCAGGCTGAATTAATTTCAAAATAATCGAGTGTGATTCTCCCCCGTTCTCCTACAAGGAAGATAGGCATTTGCATATTTTAGTGTTTCACCTCATACCCTGATCTTCTGTTTAACAAATAAAATGCCTTTCCTCTACCCCTTGGAAGCTCTTCGGAATTTCCAGCGCTTCAGGATGAATCAGGGCAGCGTTTGATCCTGACACGGAGAAACCATGTTTGACGGAAACATTTCTTGGCAACGCTGACATACAGGGCTCTGACGAGCACCTCTCCAATAATGAACATTCTTTCCTTCAGTTGTTCATCAAACATGTGTGGAGCCCGGGGCTGGGCACGAGGGATACAGACACGAATCAGACACGGCTCCGCCCCTGAGGAGCTCTCGGGCATGTGAACACACGAGCTGGGTGATGAGGGCGGAAATGAGGGTGCGGTGTCCTGGGAGCCCAGGGTGTCGGGCTCTGTCCACAGAATTCGGGGAACATTTAAGGCGTATTTGATCTAAATCTTGAAAGGTGTAGGGCAGTTCCCAGGTGTAGAAAGAGAGAACACTCCATGTAGAGGCTTGGCCAGGGCAAAGGCAAGAAAAAGCAGAGCACACTTGAGAAATGGTGTGGCTTGAGTGTTGGTGTGGCTGGAATTTAGAATGTTCGGCAGAGCAAGAGAGAGATCGGACGTAAGAGTCGGTTTGAGCCAGTGACATGGTCCTTGAAAGCCTCATGAAGATGTTTGGAGGTCACCCTAAAGGCAGAGGCGGAATTCAGGGGGTTCTCCACAGTGGACTGCGGTGATGGGTCATGTCGCTCTGGCGGCAGAGCACTGATGGACTGAAGCCAAGAGGCTGCAGACAGGCAGGCAGGTCAAGGGCTGTCCCATTACCCCTGTGAGAGAAGGGCTGACTTGCTTGGCACAGAGGCCTGGAGCCAGGCGGCTGTTGGGAGGACTTTGAGAGACATGTCAGCAGTGTGTTGGAAGTAGTGATGGGTTAAATGGAGGTGGTTGTGAGGAGGGGTTAATAACCCGAGACCACCCTAGGCTGTGGGTCCGAAGAACAACCAGTGGGCTTGTCAGAGTTGTTCCTCTCAAGTGATGCACATGTCTCTAAACAGCCTACATTTCCCATATCAACACACCATGAACTCCCTTATCATTAGAAGTGGTGGGTGTTGTCTTCAGTGCTTTTTCATGCTTGTGGCTACCTGCTGGGATTATAAACTCCTATGCGTGAAGTATAGGACTTTCGATCTTCCGAGAGTACCCTGCATGCTGAGATTTGGGGGATTCTGCCATTCGGTGATGTCGTGTTAGTGGCCCCTGGACCAATGGAAGGAGAAGGGGGAAGCAGATGCCAGACCACCACAGAAGAGAACCTTGTGTGCCTCTCAGTGGTAATGAGACACCCACTCTCCCCTCTGCCACCATTACTTTGAATGGTGAGTAAATGCTGGAGTTATTGAAGGGGTTCTTGCCATAGGAAGGCCGTTATGGCGTGTGTCCTCTAAGGTCCTACTTCCTTGAAACCTATTCCTCTATTCGAATGCATGGTTAAAGGGGTGGGGTCTGTTGGACCAGGAAGACATCAGGAGTACCTGAGCTGTGCCTTCAAATATCGGGAGGGCTGCCCGATGCCAGAGAATGCTGACTTGTCCTGTGTAGCTCCGAGGGAGGACCAGTGGGGAGAATCAAGACAATTCATAGGACAGCTTTCTCATGGTCAGAGTTGTCCAGACACGAGGTTGGCGGTTCAGAGAAGAGGTGGGCTCAGGATGCTTGGCCGGCCGTCTAGGTTCTACAGCTCTACATGGAGCTGGGCTGGGTGGTCTCAAGGGCTTGCCAACCCTGACATTCTGTGACTCTAAGCCGAAGTTAGAAAGCAGTCCTAAGAAGGGCCTTTTCACCTAGAAACCCCACTGAGCCAGCCTTAATGAAAAGCAGCATGAACTTGAAAATGAGCTGAGCTTCTTGTACGAGGGTCATTTTCCCCCCACTTTATGGAATTGTTATTTCACTCCATGCCCCTGTCTTCTGTCAACCAGTAGACTGGAGGGCAGGTGTTCCTACACTTTCAGTGTCTCCAGCCCCTCAAGGGAAGCGGAGACAGAGGAGACATCCAGTGTGCTGTGGACTGAAGGAGGAAGTCCCTTATTTAAAAATGCACAAATATTCACGGAAGGCCTCTGACGTGCCAGGCCTTGAGCTACACTTGTGGGAGACCCAATGCTGAACAAAATCCAACCTTCGGTGACTCTCCTTGAACACACACATGCATGCTGAAAATAAAAATAAAACGAGTACTACCGTATTTCAAGGACATTTCAATGTGCTAGTCAAAGGGCCCTGCTCAGGTGGAAAATCCCTGGTTCCTACAGAGAACACTTGTAGGTGGTAGTGCGTCGCAACTGCTTGTACTAAGTGGGGTGCTCAAAGCCACAGGACAAACATGCACTTTTCCCCACACTCCAGCTCCAGATTGGAGAAGGGTGGAATGTTTTATACTAAAACAAGTATGCCTGCAGTATGGAGTGGAGTACGAATTTGTATGAAGATCTTTTACAACAGGAGGCTTGGATCAATTGTCGGGTGCTCAGACTGTATTTCACGGCACCCCCAGATTGGGGTGTGCCGTCACTCCCATTGGCGGGCAGGGCTCTTTGGTGGAAACGTTAGCCAGGCCCGTCTGGGGTCCCAGGGTCCGCGGATTGGTGTTCCACTGGTAGACGGTCCCCACACCGCAGCCCTTTGCTTGCTGGGTTCTCCGAGCGGCGTTTATACATTTTCTAAATGAGAAGCATCCAGGATAATGAGATTTTTATTCATGCCAGGAGGGAAGAGAGTTTCGAGAGTATGAGGAGACTGCCCGGAAGAGAGCGGAGCCGGGAGCCAAGCCCGCCTGTCCAGGGACAATCGGCTCTGATTTGTGGGGTCTAATTGAATAATTCGATGCAGGATCCGTAACCCACTGAAAACAGAACCTACATGCAGAGCACATTTCCCAGGAAGCACCGCTAATTCTGCCAAAGAATTTCCCAACACGTAGGAGGAGGCGCCATTGGCTTTCTCCGGTTCCAGTCCCCACGCTCTGTCAGGGAGTCCAACTTCGAGAACCTCTTGTACTGAGAAGAAATGACTGGAGTTGAGTGTTTCATCACGGCTTTGGAATAAAACAGCTCTTTATTTGCATGTCGCATGAAGGGGCGAGTGTGGAATCGCCCAGCTTAGGCAGACTGGCAAAGCTGGGTTTGGGCCCCGGGTGTCCGCGTGGTTATTACTGTTGAAGGCAGTCACACTTCCCTCCCCCTGCTCGTCCCACAGCGATCGGCGCCAGGACCGGGTGTGATGGCTCAGTTTCCCACCACTCAGACCTGGGGGCCATCTGGGAATGGATTTATCAAGTATTTACCTGGTGCTTACTGTGTCCCAGGTACTATTGTAACTGCTTTATAAATATTACTTAGTCCCCATGACACT